AGTACAAGCAGCGTTTCTCCAGAGTGTCCTTCATTTGTGTTTATAAAGATTTAAATTATACATATTTTGTCTCAAAAGTGTGAAATACATGAAAATCTTATGTTACATTAATTAAAAGTGGTCTATTTCCTTAAATGTAAAAGTTACGTATCAATAGCTATGCTGTACCACTAGCGTTCTAGGGTTAATCTAAACATATAAATGTATTTACATAAGACTCCTCTTCGGGAATTATTAAGAATTAAGAAATAATGCACGAGGACAGGACGTGTGAACGTTCGGGACTATCAAGAACGAGATCTTCAACGTTTAAGGGATCGTTATCTCCTCTTAGGCATTGAGACGTGTTGCTTTTTCGCCCGACCGGGATACGGAAGCGCTAAACTCATTAGAAAGTTCCTTCATTACCACACCCCGACCGACGTGTAACGCGGAAGCTCTTAATCCGGTGCGGCAAGTAAAAACGGCACGGGCCGCCCTTCCTCGCGCGCGCGCGCGCGCGCACGCGAGTTGCACACGATATCGCTGATGTTATTACGTTCGATATTACCGCGAAATTGCGCCCGTACTGTAAACTTATTAATCTCGCGGTGTGTGTACGAACAACGAAAGCAGTTCGCAGTCGGCAACGAAAGCACTGACATGATCAATGCGATCTAATTAAACCACTGTCACGCGGCTTGATTACATCTAGGTTTAATTAGATCTAGCAGTTACGTCGAGGGTCTCTCTCTCTCTCTCTCTCTCTCTCTCTCTCTTTCTCTCTCTCGAAATATTTCGTTTAATGATGCATGATTACATTTGATGATCTATCTTGACATTTGGCTTGTAACTTGAGTTTCATTATCCCGTAAAGAATTTTATTCCTGTTCCTAATTCGCCACTTGACCTGTGCAACGTGACTGTATCTCGCGCAGACACCATTTTGGCACGTCGGAGAACTGCGTGTCGGGTAACACGATGCACGCAATGCTTGACACGTGAGCTTACGCGTGCAGCACCTAAGAGCCGCGAACGACGGCGCGGACACGGGAGCGTTAATGTCTCGCGAGAGATACTCCGTCGCGTCTAGACGTCATCTCGGATACATCAGGCTAGTTCGTTCCAATTCACCGGCCGCGCACGCACACGGGCGTTTACTGATTATGACGGATATTCCTTTCGACGTCGAAAGTGATACCGTTGCTCGCGGGGCCCGGCCGCCGCCCATGCCGAAAGTTCATTAAGCTGGAAACGGCGCGCTTGAT